CGCTTAGAGAGGCCTGAAAGGCCTATGAAGCGGTATATAAGTCTACTGCTACTGCTATACCCACAAGGCCATACCACACCCATAAAGTCACGCTAACAGAGCAGGTAGTAAAAAAATATTAAATCTCACCAGTGAATTTGGGGGGCTGGGATGCTGTTCTCAGAAAAAGTTACTTGGAAACCGGCAACAAAATAAAGGGGAAAATCTGATATAGTGGGACCTCGGGTCCCAAACAGTTCAGACCATAAACAATTCAGGTGCCGACTGAAAAATCTGTTAAATGTTTCACTCAGGTCACGAACTCATCCTTGGGTGCCAAATAAAGACAGCCACGGCAATTTCCAGAGCCACGGCAATTTCCACTTCTGTGCCATTTTTTGTGTGTGCATGCGCATGCGCAGTCTTGCTTCTGGTCATGACCAAAACAGGTGCTGGAACGGATTATGGTTGGCACCTGAGGTCGCACTGTACTAGATTTCTCCCAATTGCAGAGTTTTTCCTCAACATAGTGTTCCTATGATCCCTTGAATGCCAGCTCCCAAACCATAGTTATTTTTTCAAGAGTTCTTTCTATCAAGGGGATTCTATCATCATCCTTTTCTTTCTTTACCACAATTATTACAATCATCCAACTTATTCAGTCTGGAATAATTAATTGTCCTTGGTGAAGTCCAGTTGCAACTCCATTCCTCTCCTTTTTGATGATCTGGGGAAAATCTGTAGTTTTTATACATTTATTAACCAAGATTATTTTGACAGCTTGAGTTAAATTTGAAAAAAAAGATATGCACAGTTAGTTTGCTTCCAACTACTTTGCAGAAATGTTGTGCTGTCTGATGAAATAAAATAATAGTCTTCAGTGTTTGTAAAGACACGTTTGAAATGGGATTAAGTAATCCTTGTTGCCTGAGTCAGATTAGAAGGGGAACTGGTGACAGTTTGTTAATTTTGATGGGGAATAAATGAAAATTTCTACTAAACACCTTTCTCCATTCCTCAGAGACTTCTAGCAGTAGATGACCCAGGTAGATTTATTTCTATCTCACACCTCAGGGTAATTTCTTATGTTTTATTTCTTTTCCATTCTAGATTTTGTATACAATTACCGTATCAGAGAGTGTTGGGATTTGTTTACTGGGCAGATGGCCAATATCAGCAAAATATATTGGTGTGATTGGAAGACTATTCTCAGGTATTGCAGAGTTTCACCTTTTACTGACCATGAATGAGGAAGAAGGTTGTATGATTTTACCATAATAAAGTTTAATATTTGTATCAGAATAAAATGAAGATACTTTCTTAAATTATACTGTATAGATAGTCCTCATTTGATGACAGCCTCCATTAGCAGCCGTTCCCATTTGTTACAGTGATGATAATGTAACTTTATGACCAATCATTTATGACCTTCACAGGCCAAAGGAAAGCTGAAATAACATCATAAGCACAGTCATAGTTTCACTTGGCAACCATTTCACTTAACGGCCAAATTTCCAATCCTAATTATAATCATGAATCATGGACTACTTGTTATGTATTACATTTTCTTATTTCAGATATTTATACACAACTACCTGAATACCCGTCTCTGGTATGAAACTACGTGATTGGGCTTGATAAATCGACACTTACAGTTTGAAAATTAATGAGTAGTTACGATCGGCCTCTCCTATTCACCTTCTCTCCCTCAGGATTGCCACACAGAGGCCTCTCCTCTCCTATACCCTTCTCTCCTTCAGCCTTGCCCCACAGAAAAATCTCCTATCCTATTCCCTTCTCTCTCTCAGGTTTGCCCTACAGAAGCCTATCCTATCCTATGCTATCCTACCCTATTTCCTTCTTTCCCTCAGCCTCGCCCCATAGAAGCCCCGCCTATCCTATCCATTTCTCTCCCTCAGGCTTGCCCCAAAGAAGTCTTTCCTATCCTATCCCCCTTCTCTCTCAGGCTTGCCCCACAGAATCCTCCCCTATCTTATCCCCTTCTCTCCCTCAGCCTTTCCCCACAGAAACCTCTCCTATCTTATCTCCTTCTCTGCCTCAGGCTCCTCTCCAAACTCCTAGCCAGCAGGCCAGATGAGTCACGTGCTGGCCATACCCAAGCAGCAGTTTGAACAGAAATCGTTTCAGGTGGGGAGAGGGGAGTAGAACTCCTTAACATCAGAGTGTGTTAATAATAATAATAATAATAATAATAATAATAATAATAATAATAATAATAATAATAATAATAATAATAATAATAATAATAATAATATAACAAATACTAATGATCTGATGATTTATTTCAAAAAATCCATTGTAAGTGAGCACCTAGAAGGCAAGAGGAACATACTTGCCACATTTCAAATTTGTAAGCTTTAATGTTCTGGAGATTTCATGATTCAGCATGAGTGGTT